TCTAAGTTTGGGGTATTTTGTTAGCTATAAATTATGATTATTTTAATGGCTTTGTTTTTACAATATTTGAGCTAAAGACTAGTTATAAGTGCAAAGTAATGGGCCAAATGAGTACCAATTAGCCCAATAAGGTAAAAGAGAGAGAAAGAGATAATTCGATGATTTACTATCTTCTTTTACTATTTTTACTGCAGTTAGAGAGCCATTTGAGTTACTTTTTGGAAGTGAAAAAAAAAAGAGATGGACCGTTGGATGAGGACAGGCATGGATGAACAACAATGAAACTTTGGATCAATGGTTATTTTTAGTTTTAAATAGGAGTCTTAGATACAGAGATATAGACTAAGCACTCTCCTGTAAAGTTTTAGTTTTCAATTCCAGAATTTCTTTTCTGTTCTTTACTTTTTGTTAAGTTCGAGTCTTTGTTCTTCAAATTCTCAAATCAAGAGCAAGCGTGAAACTTCTTTCTTGGAGGGATCCAAGACTCAGCTACATGCAAGCTTTGGTTCTTCATTTTCCTTTTCTAAGCTTTTCATTTGTTAATATGAATTTCTAAGTTTCTTTTTCTGGGATTCACGATGATTGGGTGATCTTTTAATTTTCTGAATACTGTGATGGCTTGCTTAGGTTTCATTTGATTAACAAGATTTTGATTTTAAGTTCAAGAACACCATGGGAATGGGTCTTGAATAATTTTTGCATAACTGTGATTGGGAAATCAGGTTATGTCCCTTGTTAATTGAACCCTTGAGGTTAGGGATAACCCAAGGAGGTCTTTGATACAATTTTTAAAGATTTAGAAGACTTTGGGAAAAGATCCTTCTAAAGATTAAAATCTGGAACTGGGAAGTTTCAGATAAAATAGCCATAGTAATTCGAATTCTGATACTAAAGTGCCGTAGCAGTTATAAAACGCAGGAATGCGAAATTTCTTTAAGAAATTCATGATTCAAGAATTCCAGTACCTTACAATTGTTACATTTGTGATTAGATATCTCTCTGTTAAATTTTGTTTAATACAAATCTGATAAATACCTTGTTTGATTTAGTCTTTTCTTAGTTTTAAAATATTGATCACTTAATTTCAAGAAATTAGAAATAGGAATTAAAAAAGGAAAACTAAACAAACTGTTCCCTGAGAACGATAACTCTTTCTTTTGAAATCTACTATCCAACAGAAGCGTGCTCACAACGCGCGTAACAGCTTAAAACTGCGATTTCTCCGAACGACCGGAAAACTCCGGATTCATCTGATCAAGGGAAATTAAAGGACAATGGTTAATGTTAAAAATTAGAGTTTCTAGTTAGTTTAGGAAATTATGAACGTTTAGCGGAATAGGAGAGAAATTCGAATTAGTTTGAAATCGCGTGAGGTGGCGGTGGGGCCCACCTCACTTAAGTGGACCTTGCCACTTGGAGCTCACCACCAAATCAGCTCACTCTCTCTCTTCCTCCCTCACCAAAACCGTGCTTGCTTTCCATGGAAGGGGAGATTTGCTTCCAAATTTTCTTTCTCTCATAACTCCCTCCATACAACCCCGAATCAAGAAAAGTTTGTGAGCAAAGTTGTTGGAAATCAACATCCGAACACAAGCCACCGATTAGTTTTCCTTGAAACCCTTTCATTTGAGAGAAATGGGGAAAAACCAGCCACGAATATGAGAGGAGTTTATGGATTTTTGGAGTTGTTTGTTCAAGCCATTGCTTGGGGATCACTTGGAGGGGGTCTAGGCCAAGCTTGAGAGTATATTTCAACACATTTTATGGCTTGATTCATGAATTTAAATTTGGAAAACCTAGAGCATGAGTTGTGTAATTGATGTAGTTAGAGAGCTCAAATTAAAATTGTGCATTAGACAAATGTGGCTTAGAATGATGTTTTAGAGTGATTGATGTGATAAAAATTATTGGTGAATTTGGGATTTTAACTTAGGAAATTTTGGCTATGATTTCATGACTTTGTGAAATTGATGTATTGAAGGATTGCGTAATTGAGTTGTTGAGTGTTTATATGAGTTAATAGTAAGATTGTATGATGTGTGGGAATGTTGAATTGGATTGGATAAACTTGGTTGGGAAGCATGATAGAATTCGGCCATATTGGGGAAATTGGAGTGTGAGGTTGTAAAATCATGCAGTGGATGTATTGTGTTGTTAAATGGTATTTAAAGGTGTTGTGTAATGAGTGGATGCATGGAAAATCAAAGGAAAAATACTTGGTTTGTGTGGAGTTTGCAATAGGACCTAGAGTGGAATAAATGAAAAAATGGTGTTGTGATGATGTAGGATGGAAAGTGGCACCTAAAATGGTGTTGTGGTAGCCTTAGGATGCTAAAGAAAAATAAAAATAAAAATTAGAAAAATATTTTGTAAATTAACACTAGTTTGGCCGAACCTACCATGTGTAGGGGAGGAAATTTGACATTTTGTGATCTTGGAGGATTCACCTTGTGTTGATGATCCTTGTGTGATCATTGTAGGTTTCCTTCCGCGGAATTGAACTCAGAATCGTGAGCTTGGTGGATTGCCTTTAGTCCCGGACCAAAGGGGATTTTGGTGAGTAGTCTTGAACCTATGCATGGATTCCTTTATAATCAATTATATGCATTGGTGATTGGAAATTGAATTGGGGAATGTCCTATGTGTAGGCATTTCTTTTGTACCAAGCTCAGGAACGTATTAAATTAGAGCTGTAAGAAGGAGATTATTCAGGTAATCCCTTGGTACTGGGGTTTGATCCCCGTGTGTGCTCCACCATGCCCGTTGAGGGTAATGGTTGGAGGTGTATGTAAATAATGTAGTATAACATAATCATGTATATTGTATGTATAGTGGTACATAGGATGTACCGAGTCTCTGACCAGTAGACAGTTGCCTTCGGGGTCGTGGTGTGTCATCCGAAGAGGACCACAATAGGAAGTCTTGGGTGTATATGGATGGAGGGTGCCTTGGTTGATGTTCTGGGAACACTCATTGGTTTGGAACCCGTAGGCTATGTCCCGAGGCCACTAGGCCGGATGTTGCGTGGTATTAGCGTCGACCATTCCACCTTCATCGTATTTTGTTCCCTATGCTTCCCTACTTCACTAAATCCCTTTGTAACGCTTGACAACTTGCAAGAATCAATGACTATCCCCACACACTAATACGAGACTTTTCAGCGTGTTTTGTCCTCACTCGCACATTTCCCGGGAAAACTTCCCAGGAGGTCACCCATCCCAGAATTGCTCCAAGTCAAGCACGCTTAACTATGAAGTTCTTCCGTTCCGGGCTACTGAAAAATAGATGCATCTTGTTAGTATAGGTAGTACCAATTAATTCTTATAAGTTATTCCTAACTGTACTGTCCCATACCAGTACAGTCTCTGGAATCCTTCTCTTTTGGATGTTGATTCAATTCATTCATGAACCCCCAAGCTGCAAGATTTGGCATGAGCCTCTCATTGTCCGTGCCCTTTCGCACCGGCGTACACTCCCTGCACTTGCCAGCTCTTGGGATGTTACACCCTTGCTTTATCCCGTTTTAATGTTGTATTATATTATTGATATGCATCGAAGTGAGCCATTGGGCGGAGTATTCTCCATAACCTCTGGGTTACTGAGATATATTCGTTTATCTCACCCCGCTTTGGGGACTTTATTTCAGGTAGTGCCAGTGGGTCGGAGCGGCGGGCAAGAGGCCCGTAGGATGAGCTCATGGACTTGTGGTGGATTTTGGTATTTTGGGGTCACATGGCCTAGGCTAGACTTAAGACACGAACATCGTATTGATTTAGGATCATTACCTGTCATCCTTGTTCATGTCATTTTTTGCCTAAGTTTAGTCATTTATTTAGCATGATTTATTTTGGTGGATCGTTATGTATATTTGGAAAAATTGTTGTAATTTTTGTAAGAGGCTTGTAAATTATATTATGGAGACTTGATGTAATATGAAGCATGTATATGATGAAAGGACAATAGGCCTATTTTAGGATGTGATTTATATTTTATGTCAAGGAAAACGCATGCAAAGGAATTAATGTGATTGAAATAATTTATGGTTTTATAATGAAATGATTGAGTTGTAAAGTAAGTCAAATGATATAAATTGTGAAGGGTTGTAAGAGCACCAAGGCATTGCTGGTCCTTGAGTGCCGCCTATGATTATTAGGTACAAAATTGAAGATAGATAACACACCTTCAAAGGTGGGATTTATTAGAAAAACAAAGGAAACTCTGGCGAAATTTCTAGAAATTGGCAGAATTTAGGTGAAATTTGGGAGAACATATCTCCCTCCACAGAAGTACAATGAGGACGTGCCATACGCCGTTTTAAAGATTGAGATGTCCTCTACCTTGTGCTAAAATTTTAGAATTTTCTGGTGTAATATCCCGTCTAATTAGGAACCTATTTAAATTGCAATTAGGAATGGGGTAGAGTACTTGTCTTCGAATTATATAAATGTTTGCGTTAGAATGGAGTTAAATTAAATTAGGGAATTGCTGGTACTATTAGGGAAGGTGAGTATCTATTTTATGCATGTGAAACTCTAGTTATGAGCATAGGAATAATTTAATTATAATACACAGAAAGCATAACACTACTTAAAATTATATGAGTACTCATTAAAAGTATGTAATTAATTTTATTACAATGAATAAACCTCCTTAGTTGATAGTGGGAGGGTACATAAAATATTAAAGCTCCTGAATTAATAATTAAGTGGGCTAGTGCATGTGTTGGGAAAGACATGAACATAAAGTTGGAACTCATTTCTTCCCTTGGTTGACGGCCCAAAGGGCTTAGGAGGGACTTAGTTCAGCCCAAACTCTTCTCATCTTAATCCTATCTCAAGAATATCACAAGGCCGCTCATGATTGGCCAAGGGTTAACACATGTCAATCTCATTCCTCTTGTGAGTCCTTGTCATGCGCCTAGGTGATAGGAAATTCTGAATGGCTTGTAATCTTAGATAACCATAATCAGCCTTGTTAAGTTTTACCCAATGAAAGTATAATGGTCAGCTTGCATGAAATTTCATTGGTCGAAAATCCTGCATCCTTTTTATCCTTACTTATGCGCTTGAAGGGGAGAAAAAGCCTAGTGAATCCTGATCTTTGTTAACTTGTCAAACAGCCTTCAACCTCTACTTCCTTTCCCTCTAGGCGCTGATTGAGGGAGTCTCTTAGCAGAACTTTTATTTTGTAAATCAGAAACCGAAGCTTGACCTCTCATCCATCTTGACAGTACACATCAATTAAGAATAACACTAGAGAGCCTCCAACACTATCCACTACTTTCATCTCTTCCTCCTTCCCCAAAAACCGTGACTGCCCTAAAGGAACACCAGACTTAGTCTGCATATATTCTCCTATCATTATCCTTCTCCGTCTTGTGAATTGGAAGGTGACTCAAATTGGATTGTTTGTCTTCTAGTTGCCAAACAGAAAAATTAGCGTTTTATCCTATGCAGAACGTGAGTTAGAGGAGGAAGAACACCAAGGAAACATCATCTATTTTTCCCCTCCCTTAAAACAGCGAACTACTTGAGAAGAGATCTAAAATTGTTAAGCGTTTCCCCTTTCTTGCTTACTCAGCCGAAGCCCCAACTTAAAGAGGTGAGCGATTTTCTCCTCCTTGTTATCCAAACATAAATCGGTCCTTAATGAGGGTTTTCTTTTGTGCATGCAAACGATTCTGCTTGGGTGGAGTCTGCTTCTTTATGGCATAACTTGAGATCGATTTCTTGAAACATTAAGTGAAGGAGATGGTTGTTCCATGAGTGAAATGTTGGCTGTGTGAGTCTGACAAGAGGTAACATCCCAAAAATAATAATTTTCTTCTCCCACTGTTTCGATTTACAAAAGTTATGTAGAGGGAATATGATGCTGTCATTTTTATTCATTGTTCTTATGAATTGGTCTCCCACATGCATGTAGGAGAGCAATTGTATTTTGGTTAATATCCTCTTTTGAGTTCTGCCTCTTTAGGTAGCGCTAGGACTGAACACATGTAAGATAAAAATTAAATTTTTGGAACTAGAACAATAATTCCCATAAGGTTTTTAGGTCGGTCAGTGGATTGGAGAAATTGAGTGAAACTGCTATAAATTAATCGCTGTGGACAGATTGTCTTATACCTTATTCCTCCACACTTAGGCTTAGTAGAAAATGATTGGTAAACAAATTTGTTGGTTTTAGAAATGAAGTACATTTTATTGATGTGTGACAATACAACTTATAAAGCAAAATAATAAAAAGAAACTGCTCACTACTACATAACTTCTCATCAAAGTAGAAAAGAAAACTGCTCACTATATAACTACCCATTAAAGCAAAAAAGTAAACTGCCCACTACATAACAACTCATTAAAACATAATGAAAACTGACTCCTAAATAATTAAAAATATCAAATTGCAGTTTCTAAAGCATGATCTCTAACACTCCTCCTTGCTTTTGGAGCTGCAAACACCAATCTTCTCCCTTAGATCTTCAAATTTGCTTGTAGGTAATGGTTTTGTGAATATGTCTGCCCATTGGTCTTCTGACTTGCAGTAGACAAGTACGATTTCACCTTCTTTCTGAACTTCCCTTAAGAAGAAAAACTTGATCTTAAAATGTTTGGTTTTCCCATGAAAAACTGGATTGTTAGAAATGGCAATTGCTGCTTGGTTATCAATATGAACTTCAGTATTGTTCCATTGCTTCAGGTGTAAATCACATAAAAATTTTCTTAACCAAATTGCTTGATTAGCTGTTGCCGTAGCAGCTATGAATTCCGCTTCTGCTGTGGACTGTGCTACAACATCCTGCTTTTTAGAGCACCATGAGAAAATTCCTGAGCCAAGACTAAAACAATAACCAGAGGTACTTTTCATATCATCCACAGAACCTCCCCAATCACTGTCAGAAAATCCCAAGAGCTTAAAGTCTTGACTTTTCTTAAATTTCACACCAAAATCAATCGTTCCTTTGATGTATCTCACTACTCTTTTTGCTGCTCTTAAATGCATCTCAGTAGCACAATGCATAAAACGAGATAAAAGACTTACAGAAAATAAAATGTCTGGTCTTGATACTGTGAGGTACATTAGACAACCAATCAGACTTCGAAAGTAGCCTTCTTCAACTCTGTCAGCTCCATCATTCTTGCTCAAGCTCTCCTTTTGATTCATTGGAGTGGTCATTGCCTTGCAATCCTCCAAATGAAATTTCTTGAGAATTTCCTTGGCATACTTCTTTTGACATATGAAAACTTCATCTTCTGACTGCTTAATCTCCATTCCCAAAAAGTATGTCATGAGTCCAAGGTCTGTCATTTCAAAAATCTGCATCATTTCTCTTTTGAACTATTCAACAAGCTTGTCATTGCCACCTGTGATTAAGAGATCATCAACATAAAGAGAGACTATAAGTAGATCATCATCTTCGTGCTTTATATACAGAGTAGCTTCTGAAGTGCTTTTCTTGAATCCTAAGCTTGATAGATGCTCATCTATCTTGCTGTACCATGCTCTAGGTGCTTGTTTCAAGCCATATAGAGCTTTCTTGAGCAGGTAGACCTTCTCGTCCTCACCTTCTTTCACAAATCCTTCGGGCTGTTCAACATAAATCTCCTCCTGCAAAATACCATTCAAGAATGCAGATTTTACATCTAGCTGAAATACTTTCCAGCCTTTTTGAGCAGCAACAGCTAGCGAGAGTCGAATAGTGTCCATTCTAGCCACAGGTGCAAAGGTTTCAGAATAATCAACACCAAAAATTTGTGCATATCCTTTGACTACAAGTCTAGCCTTGTACTTGTTGATGGAGCCATCTGCATTTAACTTGGTTCTAAACACCCATTTTACTCCAATAACTGCTCTATCCTTTGGTTTGTCAACAAGCTCCCAAGTATTATTTTTTTTTATCATTAACAACTCTTCTTCCATTGCCTTCTTCCAATTCTGGTCTTGAATAGCTTCTTTATATCCTGCAGGTTCACAAATGGCTACATTGCATCTTTGATAAATATTGGACAACATCCTTGTTCCACGAATTGGTGGGTCATCTTCTAACTCTTCTTGCCACTGTTCCACTCCTTGCTCTTTGCTTATTTGGATGAGAGGACTTGATTTCTGCTTACTCATGGATGCCTCTTGTGCTTGTGTCCAGTTCCACTTCTCTTCTTCATGAAAATAAACATCCCTACTAATAAGTATCTTTCCAGTTTGAGGTTGATACACTTTGTAGGCTTTGGAGGAAGAGCTATAGCCAACAAAGATTCCTGGTTCTGACTTTTGGTCAAGCTTATCACGCTTTACCTGTGGAATATGAGAGAAACACATACAACCGAACACTCTAAGAAAATTGAGTGAGGGTTTATAGCCATACCATGCCTCAAATGGAGTTTTGTCCTCCAATGCCTTTGTAGGCAGCCTATTTTGCAAGAAGACAGCAGTGCTTGCTGCTTCAGCCCAGAAATTCTTTGGCAACTCTTTTTCGTGAAGCATACATCGAGTCATTTCCATTATGTACCTGTTTCTTCGCTCACTTACTCCATTTTGTTGCGGAGTGTATGGAGCAGTGAGTTGGTGTTCAATGCCAGATTCTTCACAAAAAATATTAAATTGTTCTGAAGTATACTCCTTTCCATTGTCAGTCCTAATGCATTGAATGCTACAACCACTCTGGTTCTCCACCGTTTTCTTGAACTTCCAAAACAGGCTAGCCACTTCTGATTTATGCTTCATGAAAAAAATCCAACACATTCTGCTAAAATCATCTATGAAAATAACATAGTAACGACTATCTGCAAGTGATTGAGTTCTTTGAGGACCAGCAACATCTGAGTGGATCAACTGCAGCTTATTGGAGGCTCTCCAACTTGACTTGGGAAATGGATTTCTTTTTTGTTTGCCAAATTGACAGGCATTACAATATGGTAAATGATCTGCAAAGGTTGGTAAATCATTTGACAACTCCTTCTTCTTCATCAACAACATATTTGAGAGGTGACAATGGCCTAGTCTCTTGTGCCAAGTCTCAGTCACATTCTCATATGTGGAAACAGCAGCTTGCTCCTCCTTGACTGGTTCAAATGAGAAACTCTTGCCTCTCATTTTTGCTTTGATGATTTCCTTTCCATTTGCATCTTGAATGAGACAAACTCTATCTTCGAAAAACACTTTGAATCCTTTTTCAATGAGCTGTCCAACACTTAACAAATTTTGATCAATATCAGGTACAAAAAGAACATCTGAGATTGACTTTGTACCTGAATTTGTTAGGATAGAAACAGTTCCTATTCCCTTTACCAAAATGTGGTCACCATTACCGATTCTGACTTTTGTGATTGGTGTGGGTTTTAACTCCTTGAAAAGACTTCGATCATGAGTCATGTGGTTTGTACACCCACTGTCAATCAGCCAGCTCTCACTAGATTCATTGCTGGAGAAACAAGTGGCTACGAACAGTTGATCCTCCTCTTCTTCGTCAACAACTTGAGCATCTGCCTCCTGCATTTGATTCTTATTTCTGCATACCACTGCCTCATGCCCAAATTGGCTGCATTTGGAGCATTTTGCATCTGGCCTCCTCCAACATTTGAAAGGAGGGTGACCTTTCTTCCCACAATGGTGACAAGGAGGATATTTCCCCTTGGAATTTCCATTCCTGCTACTTGAAGAAAAAGAACCAGAATTACCTTCTTGCACTTTCTTATTTTTACCAGCTTCATGATATTTTGCAGGTAGAGCTCCTTCAATGACACCTTCTTGCCTCATGGCTCTTCTTTGCTCTTGTGCTTGCAAAGCATTCAACAATTCAGCAAGAGTGATGCTTGACATATCCTTAGTATTCTCTAAGGATGTAATTGTGGCCTCAAATTTTTCAGGAACGGTTACAAGGATCTTTTCAACAATTCTTGACTCTAGAAAAGAAGAGCCCAGCAATCTGATCCGGCTTGCTATACTAAGAAGCCTCTCAGAATACTCCTTAATAGATTCATCATTCTTCATCTTCTGCATCTCGAAGTCGCGAACTAGATTCAGCACCTGTATTCCTCGAATGCGTTCATCTCCCTTGTATTCAGTCTTGAGATAATCCCATATCTCCTTTGCTGACTTCAAAGTCATGATACGAGTGAAAATAGTGGGTGAAACTGCAGCGAACAAACAGGCTTTTGCTTTTGACTTCTTAGTTTTCTTCTCCTTCTGCACTTTTATTTGTGCCATGGTGGGATTAGCTGGAAGAGGCAGAATTTCATAGTCCTCTTCCACTGCTTCCCAAAGATCCAACGCCTCCAAGTACGTCTCCATGCGTACCTCCCAAATTGGGTAGTTTTCTCCATCAAATACTGGCGGAGCAATTGACGTAAGATTCGCTTCAGTTTCCATGGCGCCTCAAATTGACACACAGATCCCTTTAGGAAGATAGCTCTGATACCAGTTGTTGGTTTTAGAAATGAAGTACATTTTATTGATGTGTGACAATACAACTTATAAAGCAAAATAATAAAAAGAAACTGCTCACTACTACATAACTTCTCATCAAAGTAGAAAAGAAAACTGCTCACTATATAACTACCCATTAAAGCAAAAAAGTAAACTGCCCACTACATAACAACTCATTAAAACATAATGAAAACTGACTCCTAAATAATTAAAAATATCAAATTGCAGTTTCTAAAGCATGATCTCTAACAAAATTAAGTATGTGCCCCAGCTCTGGTCAAAACCAGGCGTGTATGTATACTGTAAGGGGGTTAGCCTTTTGTTAATTTTGTTCCTTTTATTTCCTTTTGTTGGGTTGGAAACTTTGGTACATAAGAGAACGGTCTTGGAGGATGGAATTAGTTTTCTTTTAATTATTAATAGGCTGTTTGGGGGAATTGAATTGATGACCCTAGTATTGCATGTGTCAAAGCTATATATCCAACGTGTCTTTGAGATCCTCTTGGCACACCCTAGACCTCGTAGGAATGAGCAGGTAAATATGTTAATTGTGAACACTTAACACAGCCTAACCGATCCTGACTGCATGAGGGGACTTGTAATTTTTCGTAGTTAGCAAGTTGTGGTATTAACCTCTAATCAGAAAATTTATCTAAGCTAGGAACCATGAAAACCGAAAGGTGAGCTTGGAAAATAGCTCTCTCGTGTAATTGTTGGGCTGTTTTGTTGGATTATGTTTTTCCTTAAGACTTTATTATGGTAATATGTTATTAATTAATGGGACGGAAGAAATTGGTGAGCACAAGAAGCATGGTAAATTGAACTAAATGCAAGAATAAAGAGGCATGGGAATTTCTTATAAACAATAGGTAATATGAATAAAGTTCTGACTTATTGTACCATTGATTAGGTGCGCATAATTATTAAAGTGTGGGCTGGTTTTGGTACCGTTGATTATTGCATGGACACAAGGTATCTGTTTGGGGGTGAGACCTACTGTGACTATTAGCTAGTGTATGAAATTTTGAACTGATGCTCACATGTGCCTTTTGATTAGTATTCTGTTATATGGTATGTGTATTCTGCCTTTGGACTTGTTTTGATGAAAAATTCTGTTTATGGAAGTATTTGTTATTCGGCAGCTTGGTATTACATATACAAGAGAAATATGCTATTACGATTATGATCTAGTCATGCATATGCACATCATACTTTCACCTGTGTCTGTTTGTGTGTGTGTTGAGCATGTCATCGCATACTGCATTATGCATTCATCTTGGAGACTTAAGTATATAATAAATATAAGCATACGTTTGAGCACGCATCATATAGGCATCCCTACGGTACCAGGGTATGGGACACTTGGCTTCAGTCCGCATAGGTCCAGTGGAATTCACCTTTTGGGGAGCCCTATGGAATATCCACTGTGTTTGTTAGTACGTGCACGACGGTGCTATGATCGTACACCTTTGGCGTTATATACGCATCTTGATTAGTATTTTGGCGTTATATACGCATCTTGATTAGTACTTTGGCGTTATATACGCACCTTGATTATATGTTAGCATATGTCCGGAAATTTAAATGTTGATGCAACTGTTTTAGAATTTTGTACCTAGTCTAATATTGTTGTTGTATTGATTTTATTGCCACACTACTGGTATCTTTCTCACCCCTTCGGCGGCTCAATTTTCATAAATTGCAGGAGGACTTAGAAGCATGTGAAGAAGTATTTGATGACGTGAATTCATGGAAATGAATTGATTGAGTTTTACTGTTTGGGATATCCTACTGTTTAATTAATGTTTCTGTTGAAAGTATAATGTGTATTCAGTTTTGATGTAGCCTTTTTAGGATGGCATTTTATTATGTGTATTCTATCTTGAAATGAGTTGTGACATGATATTTTTATAACGTCTGAAATTAGATGATTCTAAAAATTAAAGTGTCAAACCGATTTCTGTTGTATTTAAATTCGGAGCTTTTGAACTGATTTTGCGAGCACCTTGCGAGTTGTCGTTCTGAGGCTACAGACCTCCGAGTGAGGCATATTTTATATGTATGGAAAGCCCCAGTTATGTACTTTCAGATTATATGAACTTTTCAATGAAATTCTGGACACTCAAATTACTATGATTTTTACAAGTCAGGAGGTTTTTAGAAAAACACACTGGATTTTTGAGTACTTTGCGAGTTCAGTTTTGTGGGGCTATTCTCTTCCGATTCGCGTATAATTTATATGTACGCGAAGCCCCAGATGTCTAGTATCTTCGTAGTAAACAAATTTTTTGTAAATTATTGTATTCGAATTTTTCATGATATTTTCAAGACAGGCTGTTTTCAGGAAAATCAAAGTTGCGCAGCGAAAGCCTTTTTGAATTTTACTTGTTGTTTTATTTTTCAAAGTCAGTTCTCTAAGCAAGCTTTTCTTATTGGTATTAATGAAAAAGTTTTACTGAACAAGAAATTTTTCTCGTTAACAATTCGACTCTAATCCGCTTAGCAGACAACTCCCTTGGACGCATACAGGGGAGGGTGTCACATCTGGGTTGTACGCAGTCCTGTAGAATCCTGTGAACCCGGACTGTCCAAAACGCACATGTGCACGGGCTGTTTCTGGCAGTTTTGGGAATTTTATTCCCGATTCGTTTCTTGGTCAAATTAGGTACATGATACGTAAAATTGAGCTTGAGGTATCTAGTTTTCTCTATAAAAATTTGAGAGCAATTAGTGGAGTGATTTGTCCGGAACAATTTTTAGAGCGAAGGCTGTTTTGGGTGCTGTTTGAGGTTGGCTGGCAGATTTGCTTGTCCAACTTCAAACGACGATATCCGGAGCAAACGAGAACTTTATAACTCGTGTGATAGTTCGTTAGAAATTTAACTAAGTCCAAAATAACATACTAAAAGATGAGAGGTTCGCAGCATGCGGTTTCTCCGCAGTAATTGAAATACCAAACCATGTTCGGATAGGTAGAAAACTTAAAACTGAGATTTAGGCTAAGTGCGTTTATGGGAACCCCTTAGTGACTTGAGAGAGGTAATATATAATATTTAAGTAGTTTAAATAATTATTCCGCAAAGAGTTTTCAGTTACGGTCACAACTTTTATTTATTACGCTTTATTATTGTTTTAAACGCTCGCGTAATAAAACGGAAAAAGTTCACTCCCTTTTTTATAAATGAATTGTTGTGATTGTAACCGCGTTTAATATCATAGTTATAATAACCCTCACTAGTAGTTGTGGATTTAATATTGAAGAATAACTAGAAGTAAAAGAAATAAAGTCACTCTTGGTAAAAAAAGAGTTAAAATGACAGTTAAGAGGTAAAAATACGGGTAAATAAAGTTATCAAAAAAGTGAAAGTAAAGTTAGAATTATGACTAGAAAAACATTCTAGTTCATTGGGTAAAGTTTGGTAATGAATGGATGTGCATAGATAGATAAGCTTATACCCACTAGTAAAATAAACTCACTTAAGTGAGTAGTGAGTCACTATTTCCCCATTCTTCTTCGTCGTCTTCGTTCCACGGACAGAGAGCAAAATGAGAAAAATGGAGGTTTTGAATAAAAACCTTCCAAAATTCGTAGAGAGAGCTAGAGACCTCCAAATCACTTCGTTCCAAAGCCAAACTTGTGAGAAATTTTGAGAGGAACACATTGGTACCGATATTTTCATGTGGGGTTCAATTTAGAGAGAGATCTTCTCCCCCAAAGATTTCGAACTTCATGGAAAAGATGTGTTTTGATGGAGCTTGAAGCCATGGGAGCTTGAAGCAAGCTTTCCCCTTCGTTCTAGGTAAGTTTATGTCAAGAAATCCTAGTTTTATTTGAGTTTTGAGGAAGATTAAATTTAGTTTTCCATTTTGAAAGTTTGGTTTGATTGAGCATGTTAGAGCTTGATTGTGGCTTAGCTCATGTTGAGAAAAGTGTTCAGATGAAGATTTTAACTGTGAAAATGTATTTGGAAAATAAAAGATACCGTATATTTGAATAGTGTCGTATACGTGAATAGTGACATATACATAAATAGTGTTGTATAGATGAACAGTAACGTATGTATTCATTGATGATGGATACTAATGGAAATGTATTCCTTGGTTATAGTGTGAGACCAAGTGGACTTGTGGAGCAAGAGCATGGACATTGAGCAAGGCTCTTGATTACTTGAGATTGAGGTAAGTATCAAACAATGGTTTGATGTGACACTTATATGAAATGCATATATGTTTAATTGTGATGAATTCACCATGAATAGGTGTGTTGGTCAATTGTGAGCATGGTGTTGGCTTGTGGACCTTTGACTTGGAAGAGGCTAGAAAAGAGCTATTCCAGGTAAGCTTTCGGTCCTTGGGGTTAATCCCCCGGTTGTTCCACCAGACTCCGAGGGAGGATGATAGTTTGATATGGTATGTGAAAATGATATTATATGTTGTATGTATATGTATGTATATTTGTGTGCCACACAAGACGGTGTTTCCTTGTGTGTGAGGCATAAGACGATGTTTCCTTATGCATAGTATGATACGATGTTTCCTCATATGGTATGTTGCAAGATAGTGTTTCCTTGCGTAATGCATACTTGTTATATTCTCTGGCCAGTAGGATTACATTATTGCACACTGAATTGTCATACATATTCTGATGCATGCGTGGATTTTTATACTGTGATTATACCATAAGTGAGCTTAGGGGTGGAGGATCCCTCCAAGGGTCCCTAGCGTACTGAGGTAATTATATTATCTTATCCCGCGTTATGAGGATTACCATTTCAGGTACAGGAGCTGATGGTGCTGAGGTATAGTGTGGCAGGAAGCCAGACGAGAGATATTATCTGACCTGGTAGTCAGGATTGGCTTGTATTGCTCATGAGTATTTGGCATGAATTTATTTTGGATACGTATCTATATGCCATGTCATTATTTTGAGAGCATAGGACATGTCTATGCTATGTTGATAGATATGTCTGTATATGTCTAGGTTACTTATTTGATTACATCTCTTTTGGTTGGTTGATGTAATCATGTAAGTAACTCTATGGATATTATTTTGAAATCTGTTATGATTGTGAGATAGCCTACACCATGGATGGCTGGGTAATATGGTTTATGTCTGGATTATAACAAACTGTCAATCAGGTTGAGATTATCTTGGTAAGAATTATCCCTAGTGGTCCAAAATACAGAGGAAATGCTGTCCATTTTATTTTGACCATGGAAGTAAAAAGGTTTGCAATACATAAGGATAAAGAGAAAATCTATTCAGTTAGCTTCCGGATTAATTAAGTTAAGCATGCTGCGCTTACTATCATATGAATGTTAATTAACCGGCTATAGACGGGGCGTTACATTTTATGGTATCAGAGCAGTTTTGAAAAGGGAATTCCTTGATGTATTGTAATGACTATGTGGTTCATGAGTGGCTTTTAGGTTTTTCTATGATAATGGATATGTAACCACTTAGTGTGAGCCTGATCAACTCATTCCTTTGTATAACATGTGCAGAGTCATGGTACCTCCTAGAATGACTCAGATGACATCTAATGGACAACTAGATATCTTGTTGGCTGATTTAGTTAGGAACCAAAGTAAACCTGAGGCATCTAATGCTAATGTTAGTCAGGATTCAGTTGTTGTTGCTTTGGTGGGTGTACAATAGGAGTTGGCTGTTAGTAGGCGAGCTAATGAGACTTTAATGAAGACAATCAAGACATTACTGCTGCCAACCAGTTATTGATGAATCTGATTATGGCTGAGTTGAGAGCCATGAGAGATGGTAGAGCGGGGAATCAGCCTCCACCACCACCGTTACCACCAGAGGGTGCCGGGGTTGTAAATGTCGATGGTAATGCTGAGAGTGAAGCTAGCCATCATACTCCTAGTACTGGTAGTACTGGTCATACTTGACGCACTGATGTGCAGCAGCCACCCAAATGGTGAATCTGAGCGTATGGATAAACAGTTGAATGCTTTCAAGAAGCATCAACCACCTACTTTTGATGGGAGTTATGACCCTGTTGCTATTGCTGCTGCTGCTTGGCTTTAGGACTTAGAGAGGATTTTTCGAGTGATGGAGTGTGATGATCACACGAAACTATTATACGCCACCTATATGCTGAAGGATGAGTATGATGATCTTGTGCAGGGAGACACGTCTGTTGATGAATATTTAATTAAGTTCAATCAGTTGGCTAAGTATGCTCATTTCAGGCGGGCTTTGCCGGATTCAGAGTCATTGGCTGTCAAATTTCAAAAGGGCCTTAATGATAGAATTGCGGAGAGTCTAGTTGGTTGTGGTTGTAGAAATTTCCACACTCTGATTAATCAATGTCGTGCTGTTGAGGATCTTCATAAAAGGCAAAAGATAAAGAATGCTAAAGAGTCTGATCCTATTAAAGCAAGTGGCTCTACTTCTTAGAAGAATTAAGAAAGCAAAGATTTACAAGTTAAACAATCTGATAACAAGTTTAAGAAGAGAGATGATCAAGGAGGGAGTGATAAAAGTGAATTTCTGCTACCTAAATGTCTTCACTTAGTGTGAAGGACTAAGGACGATTGCTGGAGCTGTGAAAGATGATTGAAATACTTTCTAGGCGGAATGACTTGAAAAGTTGTTTAGTGGGTGGAAAATTTTGGTGCGCATGATTGGTATAAGCATGAATGCTTTTAAATACCACAAGAGGAATGTTGTATAACAGCTTTTGGCACAATCATGTTATCCCACTATGTGGTGACATGTGCTAGGCACAAGTAAGAAAATGGAATTGGATTCCATTGTAGACTTTTAATCATTAAGTACAGTAAGGTACTGTGTGTACTAGAGGCTATGTAAGTTAATCCAAAGACGGATAGATAGACTACTTGGGGAAACAATGGATATTGTGATCCTAAATTGTATTTAATGTGGTACGAGATAGGACTATTAAAGGTCAATAATTTTGTCCATACAAGACTGTATGTGGCATTATTATGCCAATGATTGGAGCAAGTAGAGGCACGAGTGTCTGTGTGTGTGCTTGTTCTGTTTAGACTGCAAGAGTGAAATCGTTTGTTCTTGGATCAAGAACATAAGTTCGAACACTTATTCGTGTGATGAATTGCTAGAGATAGCTGAGAGATCGACTCCTTGTGGAAATAGTTCAACGATGAGTGAATGACCATGTGATTGAATTCGTAAACTTGTACCAATTGATGGTAGGATACCAGAATGGTATTTAACCTGGACAATGAATGTTTTATAAGGATCGAATGAGTTGTAAGTATTCAGGTTGTATCAGATCGTCAAGTTGGAGGTCGAGTGCACACAATAGAATCTCTCAATACAAAGGATAATGTCAATCCAGTCAGAGGTATGAAAATTAATTGACTTGCAGGATAAGTCTAATCAGTGTTCCTTGTGTGTAAGAATTAGGTGGATAGACCTAGTGTGATATTTATAGAAAGAAATCTGTGATATGCCACCTGTGGATATTCCTTTGAGGGTGTGCTAGCCTGGGGAATGACCTTGTTGCATAGGTATTCTCGTGATGGCTGGAGGCCTGGGGAATGACATGGATGCATGGGTATTCTTATGATGGCGCGGCAACCTGGGGGAATGGCCTAGTGGTATGAGCAATCCTGTAACGGTTGAAGGCCTGAGGATTTGTTTGATTGAGACTGATATACTCGCGGGTATAATTAATTGAAGGTGAGTTGAGTGAGTGAGCTTATTGGCTATAGGAAAATGTTATTACATGGAATATCTCTGGAGGGGATGTGTCCGAAGAGGTTGTCTCTTAAGAGTTTCATTTAGACACTCGTTCGAGTTGAGACTCATTGAGTTGTCTTTTTTTACGAGGTACATGGAAGGCTAGTGTGCCTGTTAGTTCATTGGCCAATAATTTGTGGCATGAGCTTCCCTTTGGGAATTGTAACCTAAGAGGTGTGGCTCTTGGAAGTTCCATGTAGATATTGCTTTGAGTTGAGACTTATCGGGTGGTCCTGGTAATCAATTCTTGGTTGCATGATGATAAGATGTTGGATTGATAAACAAGATTTAAGTCTTTCCAATTTGAGCTTACACTCTAAAACCACCAAGAGGTGGAATAAGTAAGAAATGGTATATGTGATTATTGAAATGATGCATTTTTATATATGTATGTTATGTGGTGTATTACACACAAGATGGTAATTCCTGAGTGTAGTGTGAAGCTGCACAAGATGGTATTCCCTGAGTGTGGGTGTAAGGTAGATGCCTTATGCTTCTTATGCATGTAGCAGATGTGCGTAAATCATGCATTCTCTAGTCAGTAGACTTGTTAGCACACATACATGATATATATATGTTGTTGCATCATCTGGACTTTTACTGCTTAAAATAATTAATTTCTTTGAGTAAGACTCATAGAGGTGCCAATATCGAAAGAGAATTGGTAGTATGTATATGAATTATGATAGAAATGATGAGTACGGTCGCATATGTATACTTTGCATGCGAATTATGAGACATGTAAATAAGGATTTCGGGTATGAAAAATGACATTGCAAAGTTTGTTGAGAAGTGTCTAATATGTCAGAAAGTTAATATTGAACACCAGAGACCTGGTGGTTTGCTTCAACCTCTGGATATTCCGGTATGGAAGTGGGATTGCATTTTCATGGATTTTGTTGTTGGGTTGCGCATAACTCAGGCTGGATATGGTTCTATATGGTTATTATTGATAGACTTACAAAGTCTGCTCATATTATGCCAGTGAAAGTGACTTTTGCTACAGAGCAGTTGGCTCGACTCTATATGAAGGAGATTGTGAGACTTCATGGGGTGTTTGAGAGCATTGTGAGCGATCGGGACCCGATTAATCCCTCTTGTTATTCCACCATTGCTTTTATGGAAGTAATGGTTGATGAATGGATGATTGAGTGGTATTGTTAGTATTATGGTATGTTTGCATTCATATAGTATTGTTGTGTCATTGGAGAAAGGGCCAATGGACAAGCACTAGGGGCTAGGATGTATGCTTAGTGGAAAGGACTAAGATGCAACTGAAGCGTGTGTGATGATTTGATTGTTTAATTTTGTGGCCATTTGAATGCATGAGTATGATGTAATTAAATCATTACTGTTATTGCCTCTGGATATATGATGTATTTCTTGCCATGTGGATACTAACCCTTCATGCAGGAAGTGAACTCTGGAGTTGGAGAAGCTCTCCAAGAACCCTGGGTTTATTGAGTTTTATCTCACCCCGTTTTGGAAATGCTATTTCAGGTTCTAGCATGGATGATACGGGATGAGGCAAAAGGCCTGAGTAGATGGCACATGATAGCTTGTCATTTTGGGATTTTATATCATCTAGGATTGTTAGATGTATATGTCATTTATCTCATCATATGTTGGTTTATTTTGAGGTCATATGATGTATTTTTGGAGGACTTAGTGCATTATCATTGTAGTAGTAATTGGCATGTTGTGTATGTCTAATTGCCTTGATCATGTTTATTTTGGTAGCTAATTCTCTTGGCATGTATATGAGATTTGAGAGAACATTGTAATTGAGAGTTCAATACATTGATGAATATGAAGTTATGTTTATTGTTTTGATTTGTATAATGAATTGGTAAAGTGTTTATGGAATGTAAGGCCACATGGTGTGTGACCATGGTTGGTCTTTTCTTGTCAATTAGGTGGTATGACACTTGAAGATTGAAAGGGGACTGAAATTTCCCCAAGAAACTCACCAAAAACAGGAGAGACCAAGTCTGCCCCAGGAGTAGGGCACTCAAGCGCTGAGACGGGCGCTCAAGCGCTGAGATGGGCACTCAAGCGCACTATATACGTGAAAATGAGTGAAATCCCCTACCACTTGGCGCTCAAGCGCTGATTTGGGCGCTCAAGCGCGCCGGTACACGCCCTAGCGCGATGAAAAACCTGACGATGACAAAATTCTTCGTCGTTGGGCGCTCGAGCACCCATTTGAGCACTCGGGCGCGTATCCCGATAACAGCATGGACATAGTTTAGTAAAATGGTCATAACTTGAGCTACAGATCTCCGATTTGGGCGCGGTTTGAACCCACATGAAGCTAACTGAGAGATCTATAACATAATGTGAGATGAGAACTATAAAGTAAGTATAGGAATTCCAGTTTAATAAAAAGAGAAGAAAGTTTAGTATTGAACTCGAACAAAATAATAATATGATGTTAAGTTTAGTTTTGATTATTCCGCAAGGTAATAAGGTTATGGTCACACAATTGGTTATTTAAACTCGGCGTTGTTAAAATGGAAAAGCAAGTAAGTTTTAAAAAGAAAATGAAAATTTATCCGAATTTTTAATTGAACCAATGTGATTGTAACTGCGCTTAATATCATAAAGCAATGTTAACAAACCGGTTCTAGAACGAGATGTTACAAATATCATGCTTAAAATCATTAATTCATAATTAAATCCACACTACATGTGAGGGTTATTATAACGTTCAAACAGCGACGAACATCCTTCTCTTTGCATCTTTGTTTGCAATTACCTATTGTAAAGGATTATCATTGTTTGCAATTACCTATTGTAGTGCAGATCTGGGATGATGTTCCATAAACTAGAGTCATTTGCGTCACAGCACGAACTCATGAACTGATTTCTTCTGCGTCGCAGCACGAACATATCTATCTATGTTCTGGTAAACCTTCCAAGTTATCTCTCGAGGGGAAGGAGAAGTGTGAGGGCACTTTTCAGATCTGAGTTTACCACTTTGTTTAATAATCTTGGAGGCTGATGACTTAAGTGTTAGTATTTATAAGGTTCCAAAAAATCCTACCACTAAGCTCATTGGGCTCTAAGTAACTCTTTTCATACTCTTAGCCCATTTGGACTTTAGTGAAAGAACACAAACCCAATAGTAATCTGCCACCACACACAATTGCTTCCTCTGTAACTACTGTTCGCTCATAGATGCAACAGGAACCTTGATCCTCTATGATCGTGTGCGCGCGCACTCACGTATTCGATGTGTTAATAATATTAAAAATGTAACCAACATACTTAAAGTCGTATATGACATCTAAGAATTTATCTTCTCTTGGACTACTTATAACCCACACATGTTAAATGTGTTAATAATATTAAAAATGTAAGTATGTAACCCATATGTACGTAACGTCACAGAACGTGTTTGGTTGGCTGTAAATGGGAAATGCATAGAACTATAATTTAATCAATTTTTGTGGGGTTTTATAAGAGTTATGTTGTAGGAAAAGTGATTGTGTAATGTTATAGAGATTCGTTTTGCGTGCCTTAATTTTTTATTTATTTTTTTGTTTTAAAAAGTGTGGACCCCACAAAATGTTGTGAGTGTAGGAAAGTTTGTTGTGTTATGTTAAAGGATAAAATGAAAACCCATTTTTGTGTAAGGTATAAATTTTGGCAAACGATTCAAATACAAAGAGAGCCACACAACTACAAATATTTCGAAAGCCACAGACAAGGCTCCTTAAAGAAAGCCTATAGATATGCTTGCTATTTAAAGTTGTTGAATTGAAAGGGTCAATTCTAATATCCGCTTTTAGTGGGGAATTCAAATCTGATTCCCATTCTCTTGGTTTTCCAGATACTTTCTGCATTTTAACACTGATGAATTTTCTGTAGCATTTATCACACTATACCTTATTGTTCTATTTGTTCAATAAAGTTCCAACTGGCTCGGTGTTCTGTATTTATCTTGGAGAAATGGATGAGACTTTTGGATATATGGATGGCAGATTTGAAGTATCTTTGGCAGATTCCACCATGATGTGGATCGTGCACTATGCAATGAACAGAGCTCAAGAGAAGATGAAGACAAAAACCGGAGTCATTGAACGCTTGAATGAGATATCAAAATTCTATGAGTTGGCAGTGATGCAACTTGAAGGTTGTCTAAGCATTGTTCACGCAGAGACTGAAAGCAGCTATCTTGAAAGCAATCATGAAGAGGTACTAAATGACTTGAGAGAAATAAAAGATCGCCTTCAAGGGCGTCTTAAGGAATCTGAATTAGCTATATTAGAGAAGGATAGAGAGTTGACCCAGAGATTGGAAAACGAGTTGAAGCTCAGACATGCTTTAAAGTTGAAAGAAAGAGAATTTGTTTCCTTGAATGTCGGCCATGGGATTGAAACAAGTAGTCACAATGCTGAGAATGACCAAACAAGAAGAAATGAGCATGGCGATGGTGATTTTTGTGAGCTGAGAACTAGTGTGGATCAGCAAATGCTGAATATCAAACAAAGACTTGAACCACAACATGACGTGTTAAATGAGGTACCACATAATGGCATTGACAGGAAAAAGGTTGAAGAGATGGGTTCCGACATAGACATACTAAAGCAGACTATGGATCTTGCATTTGGGAAGATGCAAAGTGCCCTTTTCTTGTGTGAGATGCGACCCAAAGAGAGACAATGGAAGTTGACAATTGAAAAAGATATAATGTCTATATTAATTAGAAGTTTCATGAGGGATTTCCAAGAGAATATTAAATCAGAAGTGAGAAGGGATGAGAACCAGGTTCTCAAATGCTGGCAGGATCATTGGCAACAACTGATGAATGAGGTTACAATTTTACAGCATGAACTTTCCACTTTGCACGAAACATGTCCTGAGGATTCTGACTGTTCGGCACTTTCTTCTCCAACAAAGGCTTCACCACAAGAAGGAGGTCATGAGATACCTAACAGGTCCCCTCAAAAGGTGGAAGAGATGAATAAGGAGGAAATGCCACCAAAAGAGGAAGACAATGAAGATGAAAGCAACTATGTTGCTAAGTTGATAAAGAGTCATGAGTCTATTATACGCAAAAAGAATGAAGAACTGAATTGGAGTAAGCATGGAGTATCACAAGAAAGTAAGGCCCCATCCTCCAAGATAAGAAAGCAACTAAATATCCTGAAAGAAAGAATCCGTGCTGTTAATGAAAGAATGGACAATCTTACAGATTGGATTGCTAAACTGAGAGAACTTCTTTTCACCCAAAGAGTTCTTAATGTCAAGGAAACGCTTCCTTTGACGAAGTTATCAGAAGTATACGAGATTGATACTGTGGTGAAGGATGTTGATACTGGGGGAAGTGCTGGGGAGAAGGTAAAAGGTGTCTCTGATGCAGGAAATGAAGTACAGGAGGCAATAAGGTTGTTAAATGTACAAAAGAAGTATAACACACAGAAAAATTTCATATCAGAAAACAAGCATGGTTTTATAGATGGTCTGGTAGTAGAATTTGACAGTAAACCCTACAATTTTGATTCAGAGAAGCTAATACAGGAGCATGTATATAAATACTGCTTAAGGGAAATAATCAATGAGTGGAATGAGAGCACTGAAAGAAATACCATTGAAAGCAAAATTAGAGACGACATAAATTTGATTGTCTTATCTGAAGCAGTTAAGGATATCAGTTCGAATCAAGAATTTGCCTTAATCGAGTGTAAGGGTGGTGAAACTGAGGAACGTTGTTTACAATGCTCGACATCTTGTAACCAAGTCGATGAAATAGAGAGCAAAGAAAGTACAATAAGAGATCATGTTCACGATATTGTTTTTTCCGAAACATTGAAAACTTTTGTTAATAGTGCAAGTTCTGCTTCAATAGAGCAAAGACAGAGCAGTGTTCAGGATAATTTTCTTGATCAGCTGCAGTTTACAATCACAGAAATTCTTCTGAAGGAAGATGTCTATATGGTTGTATTCAAAGCTACACTTAAGGAATGGAAATTGGAGTTAGACAACTACTACATGGAGAACTTCATCAGAGAGAAGATACACCGAGTTATCATGGTTGAGACATTGAATAAAGCATTTCTCTCACCCATGGAAGTCAAATCACCGGTTCAAGACAATACTATAGAAGATAATTACTCTCCTAAGACGTTAAATCCAGTTCAGAAAGTTCAGGGACACAAGAACTTGACCATTATATTGTTAGAGTCTCTACTTGGTTGTTTTGAAGCAGAGGAGAATTTGATGCTAAGTGCACAGTCTGAGATCAAGGAACACAGCAAGCAACTCGACTTGGGTTCAGAACGTGGGGACCTGCATGAGCATGAAATATTTGAAGATTTGATAACCGGGGAAGAACAGACTTTTTCTTCACTAACCAATAAGGTAGAAAAAGTCTTGCAACAATTAGGTACAAGCAAGGCACTTCTACGGGAGTTAGGCACCAGCTTAGGGCATAGTCTTCGTGACTCAGAAAGTTTTCATTTTCAAATGTCCTCTAATGAAGAAGGGCAATTGAAGCTGTCTTCTTCTATTTTCTTCTTTCTTTTAAATCTTTCACCAACATTTACAGAATTTGAGGGAATGGTAGGCCATAAATTTGAGATGATGACTATGAGGTATTTCACCAATCATTAACCAATATTTTTCTTATGCATACCATTTTCTTCATGCTTCCCCCTTATATTTTCCCAAAAATATGCATACAGGTTGGAAAAGATGAAATGTTGTTTGGATCCAGTTATTGAGTTGGTCGATAGCTTGAGAAGCAAGGAATTAATTTACCAGAAGGCCTTTATTAGAAGGTGCCAGAATCTCGAAAAAGCTGAAGCTGAGGTCTGTAGCATATTCTACACTCTATATATTCAGTATTAACTAGTCAGCTAAATGAAATAGGAAAGGCAATTCATTTCCCTTCTACTAGAAATAAAATATATCCGGTTAGTTGCCTTCTTGGAAACGCTAGTATTATTTGAAAATGCTCAAAACTAAAGTTTGACTGCCGAAATATAGGTTGATCTTCTCGGTGATCAAGTGGATGCACTTTTAACGTTGCTTGAGAAGATATATGTAACCCTTCATCAGCGTGCACCAGCTTTGCAGCAGTACTTTGAGGTAAGAAGTCCTAGATCTATTTCATTTTCCAGTTAAAACCTTGTCCTGCCCTAATCATTTTGAAAATTCATGCTCTTAGTATCTATCTTTCTTTAATTTCATTCACGATAAATTATTTTATTTCGCATTTAACTGTTCTATTCGTCAACAGGTCTCTAACATTTTGGAGTTAATAAAATCAGAACTGATTATTGGAGGTGTTCAGAATGCCAGAGTAGTGACTTAAACAAATGTATGCCATTGTACTTTATTTCTACCTGTTTGTGCAAAGTGATCTGCCGCCTGTGAGGAGGATAAACATTAATTCCAACCCTAGAATGGTGAACACACGCAGCAAAACACAAAACCATCTTCAACAACAATTGCCTCTGCCCCAGCAGCCCTAGAATGTCTAGCCGCGACAAGCGATGCAACAGGAGTGGGCAGCTATTTTGCAATTTTGCAATATTAGAGTTAATAAATGTTTACTTTGCTTAAGGGTGATATCGGTCATTGTACCTTAGCTAGTGTGGTTTGTTATTTTGCTGATCTGTATTCTTTCCTTTGCAAAGTTTGTTAGAGTTTGTTGTTTTATTTTCCCCTTTTCACGGATAGGTTAGCACTACCCTTATGGTTGTTAGATTCCTTTTGGCTGTATATATTATCCCTTTGTATTGCAATTCTGATTAATGAGAATGAGGTATATTTTTACATTTCTCATTTGTAATATGGTATCAAGAGCACTGTGGATGCTTTTCTGCTTTCGCTGACACCTTTCTGCCATGGCCAAGGGTTCGACTAACAAGTCAGCCACTGCTGGAGGTTCGTCTCCTATTGAGGACACCTCTAGTCCATATCATTTACATAGTGCTGACCATCCTGGTCTAGTGCTTATCACTCATCTTCTCAATGGAACCAACTACCACACTTGGAGTAGGGCCATGTTTATGGCACTTACTGCCAAAAACAAAGCTCAGTTCATTGATGGCACCATCCCTCAACCTGAATCGGATGATTTGCTGATTTCTTACTGGACTCGATGCAACAGTATGGTGACATCTTGGTTACTCAATTCCGTGGTGCGTGAGATCGCTGACAGCCTTCTTTACACACCTTCTGCTGCAAACATATGGCTCGATCTTAAGGAACGTTTCCAACAGGGAAATAGACCACGTATTTTTCAGTTGAAATCTCAAATTGCAACACTGGTTCAAGGTTCTCTTGATGTTAATACCTATTATAATCGTTTGAAAATTCTCTGGGATGAATTGAAGGAGTTTGAACCGATTCCCAGTTGTCTTTGTGGTGGTATGAAACCCTGGAACTTGTTTCGTGAACAGGAACGATCATTACAATTCCTCATGGGTCTGAATGATTCTTTCGCTTCTACCCGAGCACAGATTCTTTTAATGGAACCTTTGCCCTCTCTTGGCAAGGTTTTTGCTCTGGTTATTCAAGAGGAGCGTCAACGACATATTCAGACCAATTTCCATTCCAATGATTCTACAGTGAATGTCTCACAAGGAAATGCTTCGATCTTAAATGGTTCTCAGTCAAACCCCTTGATCGTGAATGCTTCTCAAGCAAATTCAGGCAATTCAGGCAAGTTCAGGCAGCCTCCATGATGACCTTACTGCACTCATTGCAACATGAATGGACCTACTATTGAAAAATGCTTTCAGATTCATGGGTACCCACTCGGTTTCAAGGGTAAACAGTCTCCACCTGGGTCCCATCCAGTCCATAACTCCACAGCCCTTGTGTCAACTGATGGGCGTACTAACTCTTTTGGGTTGTCCAGCCCAAATTCTTCTTTGAGCCCAGGCCAAATATCTCAATTGTTGGCTCTTCTTCACTCTTCTTCATCACCGTCTTCCAAGTCGTCTTCCTCGTCACAGCCTTCTGTTGAACCTGGATCTGGCAAATTTGCTTCAGTGTCCTCTGTTGCTCATGTGTCAGGTAAGTCATCTAGTCTTTCCTCTTCTTCTTGGATCTTGGACACAGGGGCAACACATCATGTCTGTTGTGACCTGAGTTTCTTTCATTCATCTCGTTCCCTTCATAGTTTCTGTGTCAATCTACCGAATGGGACATCTCTTCCTGTTACTCATATAGGGTCTGTCCATCTATCACCTATTTTGATTCTCTCGAATGTTTTATTTGTCTCTGATTTCCAATATAATCTCTTATCTGTAAGCTCCTTGACATCTTGTTTTTCCCTTAATGTTTCCTTCTCTTCTTCATCTTGTGTTCTACAGGATCCTACCACGGGGCACAATATTGGGATTGCTAAATGTCAAGGGAATTTATATATGCTGCATGCACTCCCTGTTGGTGATACGGCTTATGCTTTATCAGTTGATGTTTGTTCTCTTTGGCACCATCGTCTTGGTCACCCTTCTTTTCCTCGTTTACAGTTTTTAAAAAATGTTATAGGGTTGTCTTCTCTCTCAGATACGTCTGACTCATGTCATGTTTGTCCCTTGTCCAAACAGAGGCGCTTGCCCTTTATTTCGAATAATAATATTTCTAATTTTCCCTTTGAGTTGCTTCATCTGGATATTTGGGGGCCCTTTCAACTATTTCTGTTGATGGATTTCATTTTTTCTTGACAATTGTTGATGATTGCAGCAGGTATACTTGGGTGTATTTTCTCAATGCTAAGTCTGATGTTTTACGCATTTTTCCAGAATTTTGTGCCATGATAGGTACTCAATTTGGGACCACCATTAAGAGTATACGTTCAAATAATGCCCCTGAGTTTAACTTCACTGAGTTTTTCAAACAAAAGGGAATTGTTCATCAACACTCTTGTGTGGACCGACCCCAACAAAATGCGGTTGTAGAACGCAAGCATCAACACTTACTGAATGTTGCTCGATCCTTGTTCTTCCAATCCAATGTTCCATTAAATTACTGGAATGATTGTGTACTCACAGCTACCTATTTGATTAACAGGTTGCCTACTGCATTCCTAGCTGATAAGTCTCCATTTAAGGTCTTGATGGGAAAACTGCCTTCTTACACTCACCTTCGAACGTTTGGCTATCTCTGTTTTGCTTCAACACTGCCTCGTGATCGCCATAAGTTTTCTTCAAGAGCTATACCAGTGGTATTTCTTGGATATCCTCCAGGACATAAGGCTTACAAGGTACTTGACATGACCACAAACAGAATTTTTATCTCAAGAGATGTTGTTTTTCATGAAACAGAATTCCCATTTAAACACTTGCCACCTCCCGCTGACCCTTTCTCTGATTCGATTTTGCCTGCTCATACATACCCCTCACCTCCCTTGAAATCATCCACTCGCATAATTCAACCTCCTTCTTACCTTAGGGACTACCTCTGTTCTTCAGTCACATCAGTTTCTCCTTATCCGCTGCATACTGTTTTATCCAAATCGCATTTGTCTCCTTCCTATGATGCTTACCTCAATTCAGTTACTATACATCCAGAACCCTCTTCCTTCCATGAGGCTATAAAAGTACCTTCATGGGAAACTGCTATGCAACTGGAAATTGCAGCCTTGGAGGATAACAAGACCTGGTCCTTAGTTCCCTTACCTCTTGGGAAGAAATCCATTGGCTGTAAATGGGTGTACAAAGTCAAGCTCAATGCTGATGGATCTTTAGAGCGATACAAAGCCCGTTTGGTTGCTCAAGGGTTCACTCAACAAGAAGGTATAGATTACTTTGATATTTTCTCACCAGTAGCCAAGATTTCTTCTGTTCGAATGCTTTTAGCTTTGTCTGCTGTTAAGGGGTGGTCTCTCACTCATTTGGACATCAACAATGCTTTTTTGCATGGTGACCTTACCGAGGAGGTATATATGCTTCCTCCTGCTGGATATCACCATGAGGGGGAGTCTCCACCTAATCTTGTTTGTAAACTGCACAAATCATTGTATGGCCTTAAACAGGCATCAAGGCAGTGGTACATCAAGCTTTCTAATGTTTTAACTGACAATGGTTATCTGCAATCAAAGGCTAATTCTTCTCTTTTTATTAAGACACATGATGATTCTTTCTTGGCAGTTTTAATCCATGTAGATGACATAGTCATAGCTAGCAATAATGATGTGTTGGTTCAGTCCTTAAAAATTCTCTTGAGTAGCTATTTTAAACATAAAGATCTTGGTGATTCGAGATACTTTCTTGGGGTTGAAATAACTCGATCATCTAAGGGAATCAGTATTTGTCAACGTGGTTATGCTTTACAAATCCTATCAGATGCAGGATTAACTGGTTGTAAACCCAAAACTACACCAATGGAAACAAATTTGAAATTATCTCAAGAGGAGGGAGATCTAGTTGATGATCCTTTGGTTTATAGAAGATTAATTGGTAGATTATTATATCTAACCATCACAAGGCCTGACTTGTCTTATGCAGTAAATAGTCTTAGTCAGTTCTTAGCTCATCCTCGGGTCCCTCATCTACAGGCAGTTCATAGAATACTTCACTATATTAAAGGAACCATTGGTCAAGGACTGTTTTATCCAAGTGCCCGTGAACTGAAATTAAAAGCCTTCTTAGATTCAGATTGGGCATCTTGTGTAGATACCAGAAGATCTGTGACTGGTTTCTGTGTGTTCCTAGGTGATTCCCTCATCAGTTGGAAATCAAAGAAGCAACCAACTGTCTCCAGGTCTTCAGCAGAAGCAGAATATAGAGCAATGGCAAATGTGACCTGTGAATTGGTTTGGCTACGCACACTCTTGTCAGACTTTGGTATTCTGTACTCGGAACCTGCATTGATGTTCTGTGACAACCAGACAGCCTTACATATTGCAGAAAATTCTGTTTTCCATGAGAGAACAAAACACATTGAGATAGATTGTCATCTAGTGAGAGAAAAGATCTTGAATGGAGAAGTGAAAGCTTTGCATGTCCCTTCACAATCTCAATTGGCAAACTTACTTACCAAGCCTTTATTTCCAACTCAGTTTGCATCTTTATTAAGCAAGATGGGAGTACTTAATATCCATACTCCATCTTGAGAGGGAGTATTAGAGTTAATAAATGTTTACTCTGCTTAAGGGTGATATCGGTCATTGTACCTTAGCTAGTGTGGTTTGTTATTTTACTGATCTGTATTCTTTCCTTTGCAAAGTTTGTTAGAGTTTGTTGTTTTATTTTCCCCTTTTCACGGATAGGTTAGCACTACCCTTATGGTTGTTAGATTCCTTTTGGCTGTATATATTATCCCTTTGTATTGCAATTCTGATTAATGAGAATGAGGTAT